GATAAAGGACACCTGAAGACATTCATGATCACCAAACCAGCAATCCTAAATTTTCTGAAGGATATTCTAAAAAAGGACAATGAAGACAGTAATTCCAAGAATCCTATTAAAATGAACCCACCAGGCCAGGCAAGCAATTAAACAGAAGGGAGAGAAAGGGAACTAACAAGGATGTCATATATAATAAGGTTGTCATTTTATTTATGTGTCAATGTATGATGTATTGACATATTGTTGGAGCAAAGGAACAAATCACCTATAAACGAAAACCTATCAGAATCACAAAAGACTTCTCAACTGAAATCCTTAAGTCTAGGAGAGCTTGGGGTGAAGTATATCACTGTATGTCAGCACATATCAGTTATTGCCATCAATGTAAATAGCCTCAATTTATCAGTCACAAGACAAACAGGACCTCTCCACCTCCACTTCAGTATTTTACACTAATCCTACGAAAGAGATAATATAATCTCATTTTATTGATGAGATAAACATTAAAAAATATTCAGTAAGGGTGAGAATTTAGCTCAGTGGTAGAGCATCTACCTCCATGAGCCAGGCTGTGGGTTTGATTCCCAGAACCGAAATTAAAACAAACAAAATAAAACAGCTATGTACCCACAGCCACACTACTACCAAGTAAGTGTAAGGGTGAAAGCCAAGTTTAGGTCTTTGTATTCTGAATATATGCTGAACACTGTGCTCTTCCATTATGTTACGCTTCTCTCAAATGCAGAAGAATATCTGTTTATTTTAACAAGACCATTTATCTTTATAATATTTTCCCTGTGATGAAGTCAAAGTATTTTTTAGGAATGAAAGGGAAAACTCTTCAAATTTTCTAACTTTATTCGTATTTCCTAGGAAATGATTTAGAAAAAAAATGTTTTAAATCTATCTTCTCTTCCACAAATGAGCCAGACTGTTCTATTTTTAGGATATGAGTTATGGCCAGTCACTAGTTGTGGTTTACTTAGTTACACCCCTGGCTGTTTTCAACATACTTCCTGTTTCAAATTACATCATAGGTTATGATTACTTAATTTAACTTTAATGTTACCATGTGGCTGATTTTTTAAATGTAGAATTCTCTGCATTTAGTCTTTTAAAGTTTTATTAAAGTAAGAATTGCCACATTTCTCCACTCTGGACTTGGACAGTGGTGTTCACATCTTCATCTGTGTAAACAGTGAGTGTCCCCTGGATTCCAGAGATTTCACCTGTGTGCAGTGACTTGGTTAGTACCCAACAGTGGGGATAGGGTGGTATTTCTGTATTTCATGGGATCAATTTGATTGTTCCCTAACTCTAATTCTGTGAATCTGATTTCTCCTCTGCACATTTCCTATTTGGGTGATACCTGTAGAAGGCTGCAATTTCAAGGTCAGTCTGATTATTTACCTCTGCCTGTTGATGTAAACAGTACGTCCTATTCTGGCAGGAGTCTAAATCTAAATAGGAAACTGTCTTCTAAATCTATAGATTGTCTAGAGGAATGTGGATTTCTGGGATCCATGCTAACAGGGTGGCCACGTTTCAACTTTAACCTACAAGTGTCTTGAGGGATGACAACCATGCTCACCTAAATCTCTCTTCCTGTTTTGGATTTAGCTAAAATTAGAAGTTCCTTATATGTAGAAACCTTTCAGCATGAATTGGGATTAAGTAAACCCTCTAAAAAATCTAGGAACAATCAGTTTAATGACATTTCATATTGATTTCTTGGGTTGTTAGTCTATATTTTTCCAACCCACTTAGAGAATTCTCAAAATTTCTAGCTGCCAATCAGCTGAAAATCCCTATTGATTGTAAACACCAGTCTAGTTAATACTTTCATGAATATTTACAAATTTCAGCCTTGACTTTCTAGAGATTGCCCACTTCCTTTCTTTCCTAGAGTCTCATTTTTCCACTCCCTGTGCAATCCACAACCTCAGTTCTTCTAACCATGGTGGTCCTGGTTCCCTCACATTGGTATGTTTATGTGTGGACATATGACATGGTTCTGCTAGTGAGTCATGTAGGAGAATCTGTAGGCAGCTGCTAAGAAGTATTCCTCTTCCTTCCGAACAGTGAAAGGAGGAGAAAGTTGTCTTTTCCTGGACGTTGTATTGGAATGTGATGCCTGTAACTTCAACGACCCTCTTGTGACCTCAAGGGGAATTGGAAATTGTCCTAAGTGTCAGACTCATTGCTTAGGATGGCAGGATGGAAAGAAGATAGGAATTGTGGCATTGAAATTCTTCAGAGAAAACCAAAGACACGCAGACACATCACACACACACACACACACACACACACACACACACACACACTCTAGGGGGAGTAAGAGGGAAGGACTGAGAGACACACAGAGACAGAGACAGAGAGAGATTGATTGAGAGAGATTGAGATTGAGATTGGTTTTACTATGGGAATTGGCTCATGTGATTATGTAGGCTATGAAGCCCCGAAGGATGCTGTGAGATCTGGAGAGCAGGGAGAGCTTGTGGTATAATTCAGCCCAACTGCAAAGGCCTGAGATCCAGGTCTGTGTCTGGGGGTGCTATTATTATCAGATGGGGTAGGGACCAGTCTGTTTCCAAGCTTCTTATTTGTCCCAATCAATGAATTGGTTAGGGCAATTGCTGGATGTGAAAAATGATTGCTTATATTTGGACAGAAATAAGAAAATAAAGGGAAAAGGAGAAGAAGCATGTAAGAAGTGCTCAGGAAGAAAAGAGTGCTTTAAAAAAGAGAGAGAAGATGTGCAAGCAGAAAGGCACTGCAAGAACAAAAGGGCAGTGGAGTAAGGTCAGTAGTTGACCAGGGTGATCCCACTTGATATATGCTAGAAGTCAGGTATCTGCTGCCAAGTTCAGCGTGTTCTCAGACCAGAAGATTGGAACCAGTGCAGGGCTCTGCTTGATCCCATGTCAGGCTCGGTGCTGTGTGTGTTTACAATTCTCCTCAATCAGTAGGCTTTTGCCCCAGCTTCCTGCTATACTACTAGAATAAGTGCTAGGATCTGAAGGCCCAAACACATCTGAGGGCAAGGGACAATGGATGTCCCAGCTCACAAAGACATGGTGAGTTGGCCCTTCCTCTCTCCTTGTTCTATTTGGTTAGGACCTCAATTGATTGAATGATGTCTGCCAACAATGGTGAAGAGGGATCTGTTTCACTTAATCTATTATCTCACGTTAACCTCTTCTGCAAGCACACAAGAACATCCAAGAATTGTATTTTACCTGCGTTGGGGCATCCCTTAGCAGCCAAACTGATGCACAAAATTAATCACCACAGACAGGCTTTATGAAGTTGAGCAACTCAGTCCTGGGATGTCTCTACCACTGGACTTTGTATTATACGAGATGAAAATTTTAAGTCACCTGACTTAGTTGTTAAGATGCTCTCAACTGCAGCTAATAGCATACCTGACTCAGCTGAAATTTGTCTCAGTTGAGCACATTCTAAACAATGCAAATAGGTCATATTTTGAGGGTTCTCTGAGCTTTTGACTGGATCTCTGTTCCTATGAGGTCCTGCCCTTCAAATTAGCTTGTCTTTGATACTCACTGAAACGGCCTTTGCAAAATTCAGATTTCTTCCTATTACAATGATTCCTTGCCTGGCACACAGACCTTTCTTGGCTGGGGCCAGGCAAGATCTCCTTGGCCTCATATCCTATCAGGTCAGGCCCCTTGGGCACCTTAACGCTAAACATTTCAACTATGGTCATTGCTTGGCTATGCTATGTTCTGCCTCACCTATGTATACAGAAGCTATTCCCATTGTCTAGAGCACACTTCCCTACAGGTGAGTAACCCCGAGACAGCCTTCAAGAGTCAGGCTGTCTTTGTGAGCCTTTCCCAGTCCATAGCCTTCAGCCTCGAAAACGTCTTGGATGCTCCCAGCATCCCCAACTGAATCCTCTGTTAAAGCACATGACACTGCAGTGCAATGATCCCTCACAACTGACTATAGTCTTTGAGTGAAAAATTTACTCATCTTAGTATTTCCAATGCCTGGCACATTAGCCAGCACATGACAAACAGGTACTAAATACTTATGAATGAATGGGAGTAATTCTATAATCCAGACTTGGGTTCACAAAAACAATTCTATCACTCTTGGGCTGACCTTTATCTGGTATTTTGCAAACTATAACATCCTCAGCAGGGTTAGAAGGAATGAAGGGAAGAAGTAGAATATTTAACTCTGTAATATTCATTATCAAGTTTCTGGAAGAAGGGGAACTACAGGGGTGAAGATTTCCTTTTACGTTTTATCTGTTCTCTCTATGCCTAACTCGCTGGATGAACTGTGCAACAAACATGCATTGAGTGTCTGCTATGTGCCAAGGGTGGTTACAGCACTTGGGGTATTATCAGTGAACAAAACACAACCTTGGGCACTGGCTTTACCAATAAGGTTAATCATTTCCCCTTTCTGCATCTTAGTCCTGCACTGCTGGTGAAAAAGAAACAGTACCATGGAAAGCTGCAGAATCCCAGGTGAAAGTCACAGGAACGCAGGCACCTGTATTGATTCTAAGTGCTGCTAATACCCTCTAGAACCAAGGACAGTGAAGAGGAGGAGGTCAGGGATGCATTCTATTCCCTGACTTTGTTTTCCCAGCAATCCACATCAGTGGCATTGAAGTTATGTTTTTAGACAGCAGTTTTATACACACACTCCATCGAGGGGTTTTCTGCTTCCTTTCTCACTGAAAATCTCACGCAAGATAGTGAGGGCCACCCCCATACACCACCTTCACATTCCCTCTCTGCTTCGCGGAGGACTTTGCACTGGGAGGCTCCACACAGCCTTAGAAGCTGATCGGCAAGGGCAAGGGTTCCCTACAAAAGCTACGCTGGTTGAAAGGAATTAAGGGATGCGTTTATGTTCCCTTTCTATAATCTCAGCTTCCCTTGAAGTAGAAGGTCAACTGGAGTAAAGGCTACATTGATTTTCTTCTGAGAAAAAGAACCCTCGGGATTTTAAAAGTAAAGTCCTAATTGCTCTGTAAGAGATGTTTTTATTTTACAAGTATTCTGATGGAAGTGGCAGCATGATTGCATTTCTGACAGGATTACTGGTGCAACTCCAGCTCTCCCCAGGGAGAGGCCTGTGGGGATCTCCCTCCTGGAAGAAGTGGCAAACTCGCTGCTCCCCAAGGTACACTTGGCTTACGCACGGCCTAAATTAAATAATCAAAAATTCAACAGATGCTAACACAACAAATAATGGAAGTTGGGCAATTTATGGTCTTAGCCAGAACTCGATGGGAGCATGAAAAAGAACTGCAAAATATAATAATAACTATCTCACTTTGTGTTTCACAACATCCCAATGGCTCCATCTCTCCAAATGCGCAAATGTGAGAGAAACTGGAGAGAGGAAAATAAATGGCAAGTATAGCACACGTAAACACTGGAAGGAAATATAACAGAAGCGCGGAGGAAGGGCGCAGCTCCTAAGTCTCTCAGACCTTCCTGCAGGCTGAGATCCCGGCAGACCCCCACCTGCCCCACGGTGCCCGGAGGCTGCTCCACCGCGACACAAGAGCTGTCCCTGGCCCAGGAGCACCTAGAAGGCGCTTTCGCAGGAGCAGGGCGGCAGTCTGGGGCGCGGCGGGGGTGGGCGCGCGCAGCCCTCGTCCCTCCGAGCGTGGTGGTAATGCGGCTGGGGCCAGCGGTGGCGGTGCAGAGCCTGGTGGCCCCCGGACCCCCCGCTGTCCTCCTCCACGCCCTCCCGCGCACAACACAGGGAGCCCAGGCGTCTCCGGAGCCGCCGCCGGAGCGGGCCGTCGCCCTCCTGGAAGAAGAGGTACACGAGAGGGTTGAGGGCGCTGTTGGCCGCCGATATGACATGCAGCGCCGCCGCCAGGCCGTCTCCCTCCCAGTCTCCCGCGGGCCCGGGCGCCCACGCGGCCGCGAGCCGGGCGGCGAAGTAGGGCAGCTCGCAGCCCACGAAGAGCAGCGACAGCACGAGGCTCATCTTCACGCTCTGCACCTTGGCCCAGGGCAGCGCGGTGGCGCGGACTGGGCTCGCCGAGCAGGGCGCTCCGGCCTCCGGGAACTGGGGCCGGTGCTGCCACCAGAAGCACAGCAGGTGGCCGCAAGCGACGCCCATGACCGCGACGGGCGCCGCGAAGCCCGCGACTGCTTCGTAGAGCGAGTAGACCTGCAGGTGCCAGCGCGGCAGGGGCGCGAAGATGCCTCTGCAGCGCCGTTCCCCCGGCCAGGCGCGTGCGGCGTGGGGCGCGGCGGGCGTCGGCGACAGCGGTGCGGGGTCCCCGCGCACCACGAGGGTCGGCGGCAGCGCCAGCAGCAGCGCCAGCAGCCAGCCCAGGGCGGCGAGGGCGCGCGCGGGCAGCGGCGGGCCCTGCGGACGGCGCACTGCGCGCTGGCGCTCGAGCGCGATGAGCGCCACGAGGTGCGCTGAGGCGCCGCGGCCGGACGCCTGCAGCAGCTGCACGAAGCGGCACGCCAGGTCCCCCGCCGCGGGGCGCGGGGCGCCCAGCAGCGCCCACGCCAGCTGCGACAGCACGGTGCCCCCGCATGCGTACAGGTCGGCCACGGCCAGCTGCACGAGCAGGAAGTCCATCTTGCGACGCTTGGGACCGGCCCAGGAGCCGCCGCACAGGCGACATAGCACGGTGGCGTTGCCAGCCACCGCCGCCACCAGGATGAGCCCCAGGAAGACTAGGCGGACCCGGCGGCCGGGTGGCCCGGAAGTTGGCGGCGGCGGCGGCCCCGGGACGGAGGCTCCCTGTCCCGAAGTGAGGTTGAGACCCCAGTTCTGCAAGCCGGGCGCGGGCGGTAGGGCTGTGGGGCTGAAGGCATCCTCCATCCTCGGCCAGGAGGGCGGGGAGCCCCGACAAGGACGGGGTGGCGCGCGGGCCAGTGCAGGGTCTGGAGTTCCCAAAGTTAGTTGGAAAAACGCTCGCGCCGCGAGGGAGACGGGCTCGGGTGGGTCTGCGCCTGGATGTTTTCATAGGTTGTCCTCGTCATTTGTCACTCAAATGTGGGTTGTACGCTCGAGAAACGCACATGATTTCTATTCCCCACCTTCTCCGCTTCTGGCCCCCCAATCCCTGCAGGTCCCCTCCCCATGTCTGGCGCAGCCCCCCACCCTTCGCTGCAGCCTCGTGGGTCCCGTTCGCCTCTTGCATGGCCTGGAGAGAGGTCCCTTGGCTTCACTATGGTGATGGCTGATCTTAGCTGGGGACCAGCGGGATGGAGAACTCGTAAGATTGAGTCCCTTTCACGGTTTCCTGATAGCCAGCAAGGGGGAAAACAGAAACAAAGACTGGTTTTGACGGAAACCAGTTTAGAAATAAACAACGATTGGAAACGCCAGGGGTCTGCGCTGGAACACGGGAAACCTGTTTTGAGCTGAGAAAAGCCATTAGATGAGGCTTTAGCAAGGATGCCTTCCTCTGCCCAGCAAGGAGAGTGTTTTAATGGGAGAGAAAGAGGGAGTGGTGTTGCCTAGAGATTAGGAGCGGCAGTGGTTTGCAGATACTCCCAAGTACTCATTACTCGAAGCAGCGGGTGGCAAAGCTGCTCTCTCCTCTCCCAGACGTGAAATTCATTTCATTAGTTTGAAGAGGGCATTGATAGGTTTTATGCAAATGGTGGTGCATGTTTGCTTCCGTCCTCGTCCTTGGTCCTCTGGTTTTCATCCACTGAGTGATATGTCACCATGGCTCTCTGGATTCTGTTTTCCAGCAGATGGGAGGTTGCTAGGAGGGACTACGCCTCTGATAAGCTTACAGAAAAGGTGACTAAGAAAATGATAAGGCGGCCAATTTTTTTAAAAAAGAAATGCAAGTCACAGGAAATGGTTTAAAGGCTGCCTCTTATTTTAGCCCTACTTCACAAACATGTTTTAGTGTTCCTGTTGTAAGCATCAATGTGTCTTTTGTGCATGCCACATCTTAATTGTGATGAGAGAAGAATTTCTTGTGCTTCTGGGAGTGGGGTCAGGAGGGTGTGGGCATCTACTGCGGGTCACATTTTCGTGCTGGAGAAACATCTGGGACCTGAAGGTACATGGGATGGGAGTTGGGGGGTCCTGAGGACAGTCCTGATAGCTGTTGTAGGAATGTCAGAGACTTGTCATTTTTGTAGTAACTCCAGGGTCTCACTCTGGGTCTGATACATGATAGATAATCCGTGCATATGTGTTGTTGGTGAATTAATGAATCTTAATGCTTTTCAGATAGCTTAGAGCAAAAGCTACAGACATTGCATAATATTTAAGAATGCTTGTATATATTACCAGTATCAGAGGAGCCTAGGGGAGCTTATGTAAACATATAAATTGGGATACCTTAGATGGTACCTTTAAGAAAGGGAAAGAGTGATAACCTTGGAAGGTCTGAAACCGTGGCTTGATTTTCACACTTTTCCCAGATTTGCCCACAACCTTTTTCCGTGTAACACATCATCCCAGCTTGCGACCCACCCTGAGCAATAACCAGCATTCTGATTCTCCCAAATGGCAGTCCCATAATAGTCAAGGTAATCCAATGATGTCTGAGAGTTGTTGAAATGCACTTGTATCTTACAAAATAAGACTACCGGTGAAATTGCACTTCGCAGAACTTTAGTAAGATGTGATAAAATAGTGGTTATAGAACTAATTCTTATCCAAGTAGTACAGGTACAAAATTCTATAGGCTAGATAGAGCTAGAATGCTGATAACGTGAAAGGCTCTCTGTCCTCATGACTTTTCTCTTTTTCCTTTCTTCCTTGTCTGTCTTCCTCTCTCCCTTTCTCTGCCCCTTCTTTTCTCCTCTCTCCTCTCTTTGCTCTCTCTGATGCTGGGCTTGGAGCATTTAGGCAAGTGGTCCACCACTGAGCTACATTCCTCTCACTTTTTCTTTTTTTTAATTTTGAGACAGGGTCTCACTAAGTTGCTCAGGCTGCAATCTTCCTGCATCAGCCTCCTGAGTAGTTAGGATTATAAGGATAAGCCACAATACCTGGATGGCTTTTCTTAATTTTTGTCATTACCACAGCTTTCTATACTTTTCATTTTTTCCTTTTTATTTTATTGGTACATTTTAGGTATACGTAGTGATAACATCCACAGTTGTAAAAATAAGAACAAATGAAAAACAAAGCAGAACAAAAACATGAAAAGACAAAGAAAACAAGAAAAAAATGTCTTCAAGGCATGTCTCTACTGTCACTGATAGCCAATGTGGGCTGACAAAATCCAGCTCCAAGTTGCTTAACCCCAGCATGCCGTAACTTTAGGCAGGGTACTGGATAGTCCCCCCAGGCTGCACCGTCAGTACCAATGAAGTTCAGGCTGGTTTCTGGCTTTGAGGCTGGAACCTGATTCATTCAGTCTGTAACACTTTCTATGCCTCCTTCCAACTTGAACTCAGCTCACTGTCAGATTGAACTTGGCTCCTCGACCTTCTGCCAACTTGAACTCAGCAGCCTTACCCTGACACCAGGAGCTGCTAGATGGAGCTGGCCTGTGGTTCTGACTTCTGAACTCAGTTGACCCCTCCCAATCAGTTGTCCTCTCCTTGGGGACATCTGAACCCAAATAACTCACCAGCTACTCATGTCTGGATGGGTCTGCTACTCTGTTCCACTGGTGCATTTCTCTGTGGAGCTCTCTGGGGTCACCAGTATCACTGTGCATCTGCAGGTTTGCACCTCCTCACATATGGTGAGTCCAGGCTCAGGGAGAAAGTGCTGCTTGCCACCTCCTCCTTCCTTGTTGAAGCCTCTTTATTCTCTCTATGGGCTTCATTTCTTGCTTCAGATCCTTTCTGAGTCCTGGAAACCCACTTCCTTCCTCCTTCTCTTCCTCATGTTACTATATTCTAGCATCTGGACACCAAATCTTGGAGAGGCTCTTTCTATGCTGCTCACCACTCCACCATCTTCATCTGTAGTTATTTTCTAAGTAGTACATATTAATTGCAAAAAAATAAACCAGTAAATATTCACAATAACAGCAAAAAAGCCACTTAATATCTGCCTAGGTAACTATTGTTAATATATATTCAGATGATAATAGAGCTATTTATTTACAAAAATAGATCATATTAGTGTAGATATTTTGTAAACTACTTTTATTGCATTTAACATTGTTTGGACAGATTTTTCAGGTTAATAAGTAAAAAAAGTATATCTAATAATTAATGTATTTTTAATGCTAAATGGATTGCAATTATTTAATCCCTTATTTTTGACAGTGATTTTAAGCTTTTCATGTTATGAATAACTTTGGAAGGGATTTTTCTTAATAAATATATCTTCATACATACATTCAATTCCCTTATGATGCAACCCTAGAATTGGAATTTCTAGGACAAACAACATGCATTTAAAAAGGCATTTTAACACATGGTGTTAAATTGTTCTTGACAAAGGAGACAAGAAATATGTCTTTTCCCCCATAGTCTCAACAAGATATCCCGACATAAAAGTAGTTACCATAGTGTCTCTTTCCTTGAAATCTTTGAGTATAACTTCGTATACTGTAGCATCAAACATAGCTAGACAATGTAAAACCATTCAAGAGAATGACAGTATTACAAGGTATTTAGAACCAACTAACAGAAAATGAACAATGGTTTCTGTATTATCTCTTTGTCTATAAAAGTTTTTGTTTATATTATAACATATAATAAAATCCAGTAAGATGCAACATGTTAAGATCGATTGAGACCGAAGAACAAAAGCTTGATGGGACTTCAAAACAAGATGATATTAAATCAGCACTAGCTATTATGATGTCTTGTTTTCTCCAAAATAGCTGTTCATACCATCCAAACTTCTCTGCCTCATTTCTGTTGAGCTCTTTTTCTGTCATTAGTTGTCAGTTTGTCGTCTTCATTTTGCTTTCTGCTCCATTCATTGTGGCCTCTCTGCCACTATTTCTGGAATCTTGGTATTTTTCTCTTTTAGAATGTCTTTCAGTTGTCTCTGTACAGTTGAATTGGTAGTTGCAAATTCCCCTAGTTCCTCTTTATCCCAAAACACCTTGTTTCTCCATTAATTTCTAGGGACAGTTGTGCAGGATATATCAATTTTGGCTGGAAGTTATTGTCTTTCAAAGCTTGAATTATTTCACCCCACGCTCTTTGTGATTTGATGGTTTGTGCCGAGAAGTTTGCTGTAATTCTGATGGGTTTTCCCTTGTAAGTGATCTATTTCTTGTCTCTGACAGCTTTTAGTATTTTGTTCTTATATTGGATTTCTGGAATTTTGATTATTATATGCCTGGGTGCAGTTCTGTTTGGGTTGTAGGTGGCTGGGGTCCTGTATCCTCATACATCTGACTATCTTTACCTTTTCCCATATGAGGGAAGTTCTCCTTGATTATTTCTGTGAATAGCATTTGTAGTTCATTTGTTTGTATCCCTGCTTCTTCCTTTACATTCTTAATTCTTATAGATCCTCTTATCATCTTCAAGCCTTTGTATTGTTACTGCTTGTTTCCTTGTTATTTTAAAGAAGTTTTTCCTTTCATGCTCCCACATTACAAATCTGTCCTCCAGTTCAGATAATCTATCCTTAGTTTCTTTCAAGCTGTTATGCCAGCTTTTAATAGAGTTTTTAGTTTCCTGGTAATCTCTTTGAACCTGCTTCATGTATTCTATGTTTTCTCTATTTTCCCCATCAAACAATTCTCCCTTTTTTTTCTGTTCTTCCAATCCACCGTCTGTTTTTTCTTGGTTGGTGCTTAGCATTTCTTTAAGTATTCTACTTATATCTTGCTTTACCTGGTTAAATAATTCACTTTTGAACTCATCTGTGAGGTCCCAGAGATATCACTTTATGTCTATTGGTACTGTGCCTGATATTGCATGTTTTCTGTCCTCATTCTCCTTTGCATTTACCTTTCCTGGATCAGTGTTCTCAGGATTGGGGACTGAGGACCCTTTCTTGTTGCTCCCTCTTCTCATACTTTTTGTTCCTTCCATACAAGCATATATAGGAGGCCTAGTT